TGTTGATGCGGATGGGACCTTCGAGGAGGGACCGGTGCGCATCATGGATAGCCGGGAACAGGTTTTGCAAGGCAAGATCGTGCAGCTAGTGAAGGTGCTATGGCAGCATCGAGGAGTAGATGAGGTGACATGGGAGCGTGAGGACACTATCCGTACCAATTACCCTTTCTTGTTCGAGGATAGAGGTACATTGTTATGATTATTTAGCATTATTGGACTATTGCATATGTATGTGATTGTATGTGCATGTGTATGTGAATTTCGGGGACGAAATTCTTTTAAGGGGGGAAGAATGTGAAACCCGGAAAAAATTTGAATTTTTTTTTTCTGAAAAAGGGCAAAATGGTAATTTATCATCCTAATACGTATTTAAAATACATATTTTTATAGAGCTCGGATGGGACAACGAACCTCACCGTTGGATTCGCATCGTGAAATCTAGCTGCCATGACAATTTTCATCGAATTCTGAAATTGTTGAATTTTTCACGTTTTTTGAGACAGCAGGTGTCCGATTACCCCAAAAACGAAATTTTTTTTTAAAAAATTGAAAGTTAGAAAATATTTTAAATAAATTTTATATAAAATATTTTGAGCTTAAGTCGGTATGAAATTAAATCGTTTCGGGGCGAAAACGGACCGAGCAAGTGGGGGACACGTGGCGCGACTCGGGCCAAGTCTTGCAAATTATAAATAGTGTTAAATATTAGATATTTTAGCAGACATATATCTGTATTCTGATGGTTCACACGTTGGAGAGAAAGAGGAGAGAAAAGAGAGAAAACAATTCTTCCTTCTTCAATATCCGGAGTTCCGTCGCTCGGACCAAGAGTCAAAGTTCATCTCCTCGACGAGGGTTACGCGTACGTACCAAAAAGAGTGGATTTCACCGAAGACCCAAGAGGAGACTTTGGGGAAAATCAAAGATTTGAGGTTGTTTTGGTGTTATAGAAGTTCTTACACTTCTATTGAGGTAGGGTTCCCTCCTACCTTGGTTTTATTCTTACCTTAAGTGGGCTTTTAGTGGCTGAAATTGGGTTGTATGTGGACTGTCCAAGGGTTGTCCAAATGGACTGTTAAGGGGCTGAATTTTGGACTGTTGTTAGGCCATGTTGTGGACTGTTTTGGTGCTGAAATTGGGGCTGTTTTGTGCACTAATTAGGGGCTATTTTTGGGGCTGTATACGGACTGTTTTGTGGCTTGATTTGGGGCTGCTATGTGGCCGGTTTAGGGACTGTTTTGTGGCTTATTTTGGGGCTGCTATATGGCCTAATTTGGGGCTGTTTTGTGGGCATACTAAGTGTTTACTTTATGCCTTGAGAGTTAAGTGTGTCATTGCTTGATTATGTAGTAACATGCTTATGGATTTTGTTGAAAAGAAATGTTAATATGTGTGTAAAATATATTGACATTGTGATGAGTTATTTTTGTGTGAGTATGATATAATTGTCCATGATACATGATGAAATGTGGGATTGATGTTGTTCATGTGACATTCATTACACATAAGACATGACATTGACATGCGATGGTACATTACATTGCATATGCACGGGGACATCGTATATTGAGGGTGTGTGTGTCCATGGTTGTCGTTTTCACCTCATTTGGTGTATGACAAGTGGGCTTGGGAAGGTTGGATTGATGATTCGACTGAGTCGCATGGTTTTATGGAAAATTGGGTCGAGGTTAGCAAGAAGGGCTAGAATATCCCTCGGGTGAAAGACCTGGTAATTGGATCCGCACTCCGTTGGTATAAGAGCCCATAAAGTTTGTCGGTGTATGCGGAACCGTTAGTAGTAGTCCATGAATTCTGTGTCCCCGGGTGCCGTTAGTGTAAGTCCATAAATACCCACCCCCAAGAAAAACCCTGGATTTATATAAACATGTCATTTCATGTGTAACATAGATGACGGTGACACTGCATTGTGTTGTGGGAGTCGGTGGAGACTCGGGGTAAACTACATGAGTGAGTCTCATCTCATTTCATAGCATGGCATAGTAGAATTTCAACCTAGAATTGCATATTCTTACTTGGAATGTTGATGGGAATATGAAATGGTAAATGTGAACATTGCATGTGCACTTAGGTGGGGAGTAGCCTCTGTAAGAAATACTCTACTTGGCGTGGCTCACCCTATACGAAAAACATTTCACGTACGGGATATACGCCGGTGGACGGCTCTCGTTCAAGGCCGCAAGGGTGAAGAAAGCCGAATGTGGCTTTATTTTGTGTTGATGTAAAATATTTGTGGAAAGAATGTTTTAAGCATGTAATCTTTTAAATGGTAATAGAACTTATATGGACTATTGTTAAACTAATCTTGCATGTTTTGATATAAATATGGATGATTGGACCCGGTGTGGCCAATGTTTAATTATAATTAGACCCGGTGTGGTCAAGTTTTACTTATAAATGGACCCTGTGTGGTCATTGTGTTATATGGGACCTTGGACGGGTCATGTTAATATATATTGCACAGGTCATGTTTTGGGTAGAGCTCCCCGTACAAATGAGACTCTGTCCGAATTTTGTTAAATTAAGGACCTCGGTAAATGGGGCATAATGGTGTGATATCGAGCTACTCGGTATCTACGGGTATTCCGCGGGTTGATGGGTAATCAACGGACCCCCGATTTTGCGGCGTCACAGGTACTCCCAATAATGCGAGGGCAGCCAGAGTAATAAAACTTTAGGATATTATTTAGTCTCAAACCTAGACTTGTACATTTTTTGGAATTAACAAATAAAGTTTTCTAGGATTGCCACCCACCAATATTTATTATAAGCAGTTATCAAATAAAAGTTTTGCAAATTCATTTCAAGTTTGCCTTGCTTTTAATTTCATAAGATGTTTGGAAACAAAAGCCACTTCCACAAAAGTCAAAGCACAGTCTGACACTACCTACCGATAAAAAAAAAGAAGGGAAAAACATAAAATATCCTTAGAACTTTGACTGTTCTTGTTGTTGTCACCCTCCTCCTTGTCATCTGATTCTCCATCACCAAAGCCCTCACCATCAACATCAGTATTCGACTCCTCATAAGGGACAAATTCTAAGAAGTATATGTTGGGAAAAGCAATTGAAGCTTTCCCTCTAAACTCCTCCTAGCTATCAATAAAGGCACCGGCAATACTATCCTACAGATAATCCTCCCTCATCTTATCCATCTCCAGGGCGTGAGTCTATACTGTAGAAGTCTTCTCATTGGCCTACTATAGCTCTACCCCAAATCTGGAAGCCCTCTCATGAGCTGTTTGTAGCTCTGCCTTAACTCAGGTGGTCCTCTCATGGGCTGTTCACAAATCTACCTCTATTCTCGTGTAGCTAGCCTCACTGTCAGCCTCCAATTTAGTGGATCTCTCAAGGGTCACCAAAAGCTCAATCTCAAGAGGTTCAGCTCTCTTGTAAGCCACCCTCAATTGCTCCTTAACAGCCCAAAGTGTCTGTCTCTCTTTCATCAAAACCCTTGATAAGTGCTCATGCTGGGTAGCTCTTATAAAAAAATACTTAGCAGCTGTGGACACCTATAAACATGCAAAATAGAGGTAAATATTTGTGTCATCAAAGGACATAAAGGGCAAAATTTCATAAAAGTACAAATGATTACCCAAACCAGACCTCCATCATGGTGTTAATAACACCCTCGGTACTTTGATAGTTGACTTCTCGAATATCGAAGGGCATCAGAAACCTCGAAAACTGCTCCAGGGCTACATTCACATTTTGAAGCATGGACACAGAAGAAATATGTGGCATCCCAATCTATGTTGGAGAGTGAAATCATGCCTCTTGAGATGCCCTGATTGAAGAGGTAGCTTGAGAAGGTGCCTGGACAATTAGAACAAGTAGAGGAGTCACCTGTTGGAAGTCCATAGGAGCATCATCCAGTCTCACCCTCTTAGGTGGAGGAGTCATCTGCACAGCCCTAATGGAGTAAAGAGCATCCACTAAACCTATTTACTTTGGAACCAGAATAAAGGAGTAAGCTTCCGAATTTGAAAATACTACCAAAACATTTTCTTAAAGGATGACATACTTCTCTTCTTGGAGGAAGAGCCGCGGGCCTAGGAAGAAGGCAAATCACCTCCAGAAAGGGAACCCCTAACTTGAACCTCTTTAGAAAAAAGGGTCCTATAGTCCTTTTAGTGGTGAGCCCCCATCGCCTGAAACCTTCCCTCTTGGTCTGCCAATAACTCTGGCAAGCTTGAAATGGAGTTGAAAATATAGTGAAGGAGAAAGGGACACATCAACCAAAAAAAAAAAGGGGGAATTTATACCTATCCTCTTGGGTACACCCTATCCCATGGGAACCAAAGCCTGGTCCTCCTCAATAGCCTACTAACCTCTTATAAACAAAAATTGAGTCTTCCAGCTATGGCAGTTGGAGCGCAGTCTAGTAATCAGCTTTCCTGCCCTCGGAGAAAAGAAATACCAGCCTCGATTGGGAGTGGGGTTCTTATGTAATATATAAGTAGCAAAAAAATCCAAACATGAGGAAGTGGCACTTGTGCCGTGAAAACGTCACCACAATGCGAGGAATCCCAACAACACCCTCCAACCATTAGGGGTTAGCTTCCTCGGCACTAGTGACGAGTGTGCCAGGATGCAACACACGGGTGACAACATCAGGAACCTTAGACCTGCTTCTAGCACCTACTTATAGGCAACAAGGTCCCTAGAGGAGTCATCAGAGGCTGGCTCACCTATCTCAGCCCGGTGGCATAACATCGTATGGGGAATTCAAAAAGTGGATATAATCCTAGCAATCTCAGCATCAGTATTAAGAGAGCTAGAAATAGAGCTCACCTTAGAAACATTGTCATTAGTGACCACCTTGCCACCATACTTGCGTTGATGTGGATGTAGAGGAACACTGCCACTATCATCTCTTGCCACTTGATCAGTGTATAGCTTCGTGCGTAGTTGCGCCCTAGCACCTAGCTTGTTTGTCTATACCCCAACACCTACTACTTACAACTAGGCACCCTTGCCTACTCTCGCACCAGTGCCTGCCCATGTGCCAATGCTTGCCACGATATCTATACGTCGGTCGCGCTTGTCATATAACCCTAGGCGCCCATGACGCTCCTTGCTTCAACGCCCATACCTGTTACGGCACCCTAGGCAACCCTCAACTGCTACCTAGGTGCCCCAAATGCCCTTGCTCTCTGCCTCGATGCACCTGCCTACCACAACGCCCCCGGTGCCCTCGCCCTCGCCCACGCCCACACGCCCTTGCTTGTGCTCTTGCCTACTGCCTCGACGTCCCTACCTACCATAATGCCTCCGCCCGTTGCTTTTTCACCCTCGTCTCTGCCTTCGACGCCCTTGCCTGTTGTGTCGCATGTCGAAGCGTCGCCCTTGCCTTCTGCACCCCTGCCTGCCGCATCGCTTTAGCACCTCTTGGTGCCACCTTACCTAAGGCCTACTCCTTTTATCTCAATCCACTTGGCATCTCACCTCTCTTTATTCTTTCTTAAACTAAGTTGGGGGAATTGATGTGAAGGGATCCTATTTATAGCCAAAGTTTCATATTTGGCAACATCCTAATCTAATGGGGAGTTTTAATAGGATTAGGATGAAGTCTTTTAATCAGGGTGGAAAGAGATATCCAAAACAATTTGGAATGAGAAGTCGTAATCAAAGTGGGATAAGGAGACCTATCTGAGGTCTTAAGGCAAGAGACAAGCTCCTTAGAAGAAAGTCAAAAGAACGATAGGTCTCCACCAACAGAGAGTACCCGCCAACCCAGGAATTCAAATCTCAAAGCAATATCTACAAGGACAATGTCGGGACTTGGGAAAAAAGGGTAAAGAGCAGGAGACAAAAATTGTCCTTACTAATGCCCTCTCCCACAAATTCCATTAGGCTTAGGGCATGGGGGGCAAATGATGGGCCCAACCCAAACTTGGCCTAAGAATTATGGACTAGGCCCAGAATCACAGAGCAAACCTAGGATTACAAACTAGGGCCAACTTAAAGGCCTAGTCTAGGAATGTAGGTTATGCCCACCACAAGAGTAACGAAGCTAGGATAGGTCAGCCATGCCATCTTGAAAGATTCAGGTCAATCGCATCATGCCAAGAGACTCAGTCCACAACTAACATGTGAGGAGATCTCCTGGGCACACATGTCATGACCTCCATGGAATTGTCTCTCCCATTACAAGAAGGGTGCCACCTCTACCAAACTACCTCACCTGGTATGAGAAAGACACCTTAATCTTTTAGGAGGTGCCTATAAATTGTAAGCCTCACCTACACAAGGGGGCATCTCTCACATCTTAGCACTCTACACCCCTTGACTAATAAAATACTCAAGTCATCCTAATCCTTCACAGTGGAGTAGGTCACACTGACTGAACCACTTAAACTATATTTCACTTGTGTTGACTCTCATCATTTATAACGGCATTTATAACTTAACAGGTGGTGTATAAATACATTTTGTACATCATCAAACCCAGTATTAATATCATCAGGCTCACCTCATTCTTCTCCTGCACTGTTTGAGATGACGTCATGGCATATACCTTTTCAACCTCTATCTTTGGATACATAAAGTTTATACAAATATTTCACAATTAGGTTTTTATGTTTGTATGTATGTTTCTATATACCCCATGTATTACAAATCTCTATTCAGGTCCAAATGTACAGGGTGGAGCCAAGAATATATATGGGGGCAAAATATAACTAAAAATAATTCCTTAGTTGAAACAAAAAATTTAAGTTTAAGAATGACAAAAATTTAAGACTCAAGACAAAATTATTGTGAAACAGTGAATTCAATTTTTATTTAACCGAAACAAAATCTAAACAAAAAGACACAAAATAATTTTTTAATAGATTTCAATCCAATTATATATTTCAATAAAATACAATATTCTTTAAAATCTCTAAACTTTTGTGTATTAATTAAATGTAAATTAATTTTTCACTAATTTTCTATTTTGTTTTTTTTGATAAGAGACAAAAATTTTATTGATTAACTAAAGGAAAAAATTTCAATCTAATCTTAGGTGGACAAGTTATCCAACCCAAGATTGCATACCATTCTTATAATGGTAAAGCAAACAAAAAATTACAAAAAAGAAGACACTATCAAAAATATAATCCACATGAAGTTGTTCTGCTTGCAATAATGCTAAAGAATAACAGTCTTGAACTGTTGATCGTTGATGCCCATAATAAAGCCAATAAATATAATCGGTCTCGTAAATATTCGACTTCTTCCTGCTTATCCTAAAAAATTATTTCATTTCTCTCCGTCTATATCACCCAAACAAGAGCCAAAAAAACACTTTGCCAAGGGTCCTCCCTTTTGGACTTTTGATTAAACCTAATTAGTATATAAATTAATATAATTAAATAAATTAATTTTGTAAGATAAAACAGTTAAAAACTGTAAATTAGGGTTTATGTGTAAACTAGGGTTTTATGTATATACTATTTCAAATTTCAAGGTTTTTATGCAGAATTACCGAAAATCAGGAGGAGCAATCTATCAAACCTTGAAACAACTTAGGCAAGTGTAATTCAATAATAAGAACATGCAAGAACATCATGGAAGCTCCACCAGCAAAAAAGGACCGCCTGGACGGTGGTGGTGGCGTCCGGACGATGGCTCTTGGCAGTTGATGTCTATCTTCCACCTCTTGTTTTCCTGGTAGCCTATAAATATGGCCCTTTAGCTTCTGCATTTGGGAGTTAGAGAGTTGGAGAGAGAGGGGAGTCTAGAAAATAAAAGAAAGAAACAAGAGAGAAAGGAAGGAAGAGAGAAGATTTCTGAAGTGCAACCCTAGTCCGTCTAACTCTTCAGCCAAAATTCTATATTTCTACATTTTTGTTATGTCTTTCTACTTGGAGAATTGAACTACCGCCACCTTTGTGTCTTAACTGATATTAATGGTGGTTTTATTTCAATTGTTCCTTGTGAAAGAAGTGTCAATCTTTGTATTTTATTTATTATTGTAATGAGAATTACTCACACTTCTTTCTTGTTAATAGTAATGGAGTGTGAGTAGTTTACTTATACCCCTCTGTGAGGGGTGAACATATGTATAATACTGGTTAAATTATGGAAATATTGATGTTTTATTATGCTTTATCTATATATATATATATCTATTTATAATATGCTCACGGTTATGAACACCGAGCAATACTTAATATTCTATACTATCTATTATTATAAACTTCATGCATGATATGGTGATGTACGTAGTTGGATGTTACTACGTAGCCCGAAATTATGTCATCAGTGAATCATCAACCTGTCGGTTGAATATCTACAGTGTTCCAACTGAATGGCTTGACCTTCTGGTGCACTGAGGATGTTTTACTATTGCATGGTACAATTGTCAGATTAATAACCTAAGTAATCCTCCTGAATGGCTTGACCTTCTGGATTACTAGGGTTGTTTAACTGATATAGGATATGAAAGTTGTCAGATGAATAACCTAAATGATCCTCCTGAATGGCTTCACCTTCTAGATTATTAGAGTTGTTTAACTGATACATACTATAATATTGCCAATTGAGCAATTCTAGTGATCCTCATGAATGGCTTTACCTTTTGGATTACTTGAATTAATCAATTGTAACATATACCACCAGCTAACCTAAAAAGTTGTTGTGTTATGGTTTAATAATACCACCGGCTAACCTAAGAACTTGTTGTATTATGGTTTAATAATACCACCAGCTAACCTAAGAAGTTGTTGTGTTATGGTTTATATACATCAGACCTATCGGTTGACTTTCCGGTGACTTGGAAGTGAATTGCTGTAAGGTAGCATTTCTAGTATTTAACCAATATAAAGCATATGGAATCCCTAAACTGAAGGATACTTTTTATACTATTGTCCTTTAACAATCTATCTACACATTTTATTTATTTAGACTAGTTATCAATCTAAGCTCACGTCACAAGCTAGCTCATGTTACATTACTTTAACAACAACTTCACTGTTCTTTTTTTGAATTCTAATTATTAAAACTCTTCATGGGATCGATCTTGGACTTAAACCGAGAAAACTACAATTCGATTACTTATACTAGGGTGTATAATGTAAATCAGATCACGAAATAAGTTGAATCAAATTTTTGGCGCCGTTGCCAGGGAGTTATGGTAATTTGAAATTAAATAAAATAGGGAAGTTGTTTACTTGTATTATATGTTTATAAATTGTTTGTTTTATTTTTAAATAGTTTATGTCTGTTCATTCATCAGTAGATTCTGTAAATCTGTCATCTCCTTCGTCTTCATCATCTTTATCTACACAGGTATCATTTGAATTAAGTATGACTCAAAACATACCTAGGGAACAAGATCCTAGAGAGCAGGAAGTAGTTCAAAATGTCCGACCATTAAGAGAATATTTACATCCTACATGAACTAATCTCTCGTCATGTTTTTCTTTTCCAATAGATGCTCCAAACCTTAATATTAAGCCAGACACAATATAGTTATTACCACAGTTCCATGTTTTGGAAACTGAAAACCCTTATGTGCATATGAAAGAATTTGAAGAAGTTTGTGAAACTCTAAAAGATAATTCTGAAATGGTCATATTAAAAATTTCTCCTTTTTCTTTAAAAGATAAAGCTAAATAGTTGCTTAACTCTTTAAGAGCTAATTCTATCACAAATTGGCAAGCTTTGCAAATTGAGTTTTTTTAAAAAAAATTTGCTGTACATCGTACTAATATATCATGACTTCAAATAATGAATTTTTCTATAAAAGAAGGTGAAACTTTTTATCAATATTTGGAAAGATTTAAAAATCTTCTACAAGCTTGTCCACGCCATGCATTTAAACATTGGACTTCAGTTGTTTTTTTTATGATGCTTTTCCACCGTCAATGCGATAATTTGTTGAAATGATGGCCTAGGGGGAATTTATGAGTAAAAACCCTGAAGAAGCATTTCAATTTTTTGACACTATTTCTGAAAGTTCCCAGATGTGGGACTCGACTTCTTCAAACATAGTGGAAACTAAGTCATCTACATCCGAAAGAGGAAAATATGTGTTGAAAGAAGATGATGATTTAAGAGCTAAAATGACTAATTTATCTCGAAAACTAGGAGCCTTAGAAATGAAAAAAATAAAATAAGTGTCTGTTGTGTCTTCTACTAATCAAATATGTGAAATTTGTGTGTTATTAGGATATCCTGCAGCAGAATGTTCAACTATACCTGCATTTATGTAAACCACCACATGTCTAAACTATCAACAATCGTCCAATTAGCTTCGTTTTGCATTTAACGTCTCCATTTACATCCTAAATCAAAATATAAGAATAATAAATATATTTAGGCTCCAAACAAGTATAGAATAACCAAGCAGTCTGACAGACTACCTTTCACCAATTTGATTATAACTCT